CACCTCATTTCTTTGGATTTTTAATTGCATGTAAAACCATTCAGATTTTTCCCAGGTTATCTTTTACATGTTTTGGAAATAGCTTTCCCACACATACATTTCTTATAATCACAGAGAGGATGTCCTATGTAAGAAAGATAAAAATAGGCAATACATCTTTGCTTCCAGGGTTCTAGCTTTAGGTCCTCTACATAATAGGGCTAGAATATCCATTGGTGGAACTATGAAAATGTGAAGGCAAGAAGTGGGGGTGTAGCTCAGTGGTAGAGAACTTACCTAGCATGTACAAGACCCCAGGGTTCAATCCCAGTGCTGGGGAAAGAAAAAGTGAAGGCAATTTGTTACAATTTTGGTGACCCCTGGATTTTTTTTTTTTTTTAACAAACAAAGCAGTTTGTGTTTCTACATCTCCCTATGCAAAATATGCTAGGCACTGAGCTACAAAAATATCACCCCAGCTCACAAGTTACTAGTTACCCACCCTCATTTTTTACCCTTAATATATAAACCAATTACAAACCCTTTTGTGACACTGTTGGCGTAAGGAATTATTATTTTACCTGATTACTTTGAATGAATATATTAAATGCCACACTACAACCATAAAAAAACTGATAGTCTTTGTGTGTGTGTGTGTGTGTACTGGGAATTAAACTCATGACTTTATTCTTGCCAGGCAGGCGCTGTGCTGCTGAGCTATATCCCTGGCCCTTAATGGGTAAAATTTTTAAAAAGAAGAGTTTTAGGGTCACAGCCAAAATTAAGTGAATTAGTGCAGAGTTTTCCTGTACATTGCATCTCCTTCAACTTCTCTTCCTGGTTTATCATACTATTAACACTTTATGTTGGTGTGCTAATTGTTACAATCTATGAGCCAACACTTAAACATTATTATTAACTACAGTTACATTAGGGTTCATTATTTGTCATATCGAGTTCAGGTTTTGACAAATACATACTGTTGTGTGTGTCATTATAATATTGTAAAGCATAATTACACTGTCCAAAAATATCCCATGTGCTTGAAGTATTCAGTTCTTCCCTTCTTCCTCCCTAGAAATCACAGGCTACTATTCATATTTTTACTGTGTCTTACTGTTTTGCCTTTTCCAAAATGTTACGAATTTGGAGTCATACTCTTCACACACTGACCACTTTTTACTTGGCAATTTGCGTATGGGTTTTCCTGTGTTTTTGTGGCCTAATAGTCTATTTATCACTATATGAATGTACTGTGTCTTCATCCTTTTACATCTTGGCTCCTTCCATATTTTGTCAATTATGAATAAAGCTGCTGTAAGCATTCTTTTTTTCTTTCTGGTTTTTTGAGCAAGACCACAGAATCTTGCTATGTATGTAATTCAGGCTGACCCTGAACTTACTGTGTAGCCCAGGCTGGCTTTGAACCACAGCAGTCCTCTTGCCTCTGCCCTCTGAGTGCTGGGATTATAGGCGTGCACCACCGTGTGAGGCTGCTGTAAGCATTTCATGTGCAAATTTGTGGATGTATGTAAGTTTGTTCTTCTGTGTAACTCACCGTGTGCTCAGGTGTCCATCCTGGGTCCTTTGCATCTTTTTTGTGGGACTTGAGACTCAAGAGGAGCAAGCACAAACATTAGATACTCTTGTCGGCTGCTTTTTCTCTAAGTTGAGGCACAAATATTTCAGGTATATAGGAAGAGATAATTGGTGGAAAAATTTGGATGCCTTAAGAACAAGACTGCCTCCACCATAATTAATAATCAAATATGGAAGACAATTCTATGACCAGATAATTTTAGGGAATGTCTGAGAAAGAATAAAAATAGGGGCAGGAGGGATAATGAGTGAATGATAATTGACTTGAATATAAAAAAAGCCAGCTTCAGTTTTCAAAATCATACTACTGTCCTGTACTTTTTTTTAATCTTAGAGGAAAAGTATTCAGTGTTTGACCATTGAGTATGGTGTTATCTCTGGGTCTTTATTATGTGACTTTTTTTTCTTTTTAAATGAAGTAGTTTCCTTTTATTCCTAGTTTGGGTACATTTTTTTGGTCATGAAGTGGTGCCATTTTGCTGTGATTTTTCTGCATCATTAAAGATAATTTTTTTCCTTTATTGTGTTAATGTGGTTCATTATGTCGATTGATTTATGTATGTTGAACTATCTTTGTTCTGCCAATTTCCTTTTATAAATAATGTTTTATTAGCATGAAACCAAGTTCAGTTTATATGTTATCAGTAGCTATATTAGCATTTCAGAGGTAGTAGTTATGACAGAGATGACATAATTTGCAGAACCTGATCATTTGCTGTTTACCTTGTCTCTGTTTTGGTACAGGGGATTTAACCCAAGGCCTTGGACATGCTGAGTATATATATACTCTACCACCGATAGGGGTTCAGGGCCCCCTACTTATTTTTTATTTCTAATGTTTGGAAATATTTGAGATTGAACCAAGAAATTTTGAGCTACATTCTTACTTACTTTCTCTTTTATTTTGAGATGGGAGGATCTTGTTAAATTGCCCAGGCTGGTCTTGAACTTGTAATCGCCCTGCCTCAGTCTCCCGAGAAGCTGAGATCATAGGTGTGTGCCACCATGCCTTGCTCCCCTCTCAACTTGAAAAAATGTTTTATAATTTCTGCTTCTAAAATTATTAGTGTGCAGTTCTTCGGTGTGTATTTAGGAGATTTGGACCCTTCTTTGTTGATCAGCGCTCTGTAAATTGCTTCTTTAAATAAACAATGGCTATGGTATGTTTGTTTGTTTGTTTGTTTAGTCTTTTTGAGACAAGATCTCACTATGCTGTTCAGGCTGGCCTTGAGCTCACTTTTTAGCCCAGGCTGGCCTCAACCTCACAATGATTCTCCTGCCTCAGCCTCCTGAGTGCTGGGATTACAGGTGTGTGCCACCATGCCTGGCTTGGTTTATCTTTTTAACACAGAAATAAGTAGGAGCTAGTTAAATAATTTTAACAGAAATACTACTATTTTTAAACTTTATCAGTACTGGTATAGGACATAATGTTTACATTTCTTGTGACAAGTTGGTACGTGCACATTATAAATCTTAATCTTGATTTTCTCCTCCCTTTCCTTTCTCTCTCTGTTCACTCCTCTCTTGATGCCCTTGGTCTTTTGTTTCTGATTTGTATGTCTGTGGTCCATGATGTTCACACTCCTGAAGTGGAGTTAGCACGTGGACGTGACTCAGCTCAGCTGTCTCCCCTCCCTGCCCTCTCTCTTCATCTCTTTATCCCCTTCGCCTTTGAGAAAAGTGTATCTCCATACTTCTTATTATCTAGCTATTACTTTGCTCTTTATTTTTACTTTGGGTTTCTTGTATAAGAGAAAGCATGTATTTAAGCTTATGTGTCTAATTTATTTCACTTAATTTTTTTTTTTTTTTCTTTTTTGCCTTTTTGAGAGAGAGTCTCACATGCAGTTCAGGCTGACCTTGAGCTCACTTTGTAGTTCAGGCTGGTCTTGAACTTGCCATGATCCTCGTGCCTCAGCCTCCTGAATGCTGGGATTATAGGCATGCGCCAACACCGCCGGCTTCACTTAATATTATAGTCTCAAGATGCATCCATTTTCTAACACATGACTCAGGCTTATCATTTTGTATGGTAGAGTAGTACTCCATTTTGTCTAAAATACCAATTTTCTTTATCCATTCATGGCTATTATGAATTGTGCTACTATAAATATGGGCATGCATGGATCCATGTAATAATATGGTAACTTCAACTCTTTTGGGAATATACAAGGGGAACAGCTGGGTCAAATGGAATTTCTGTTTTTAATTCTTTGAGGATTCCTTATTGATTTGCATGGTGGTTGTACTAGTCTACATTCTCACCAACAATATACAAAAGTTCCTTTTTCCCCACATCATTGCCAGCATATGATTTTCTGATGATAGCCATTTTTTTTCTGGGGTATCTCAATGTAGTTTCAATTTTTTTTTTTTCTCCCTGTGTACTTTTATTAGCTCCCTACCCACTTTTTTTTCTTTTTTCTTTTTGAGATAGGGCCTTGCCATGTAGTTCAGGCTGGTCTTGAACTCACTACATAGCCCAGGCTAGTCTCAAACTTCCTGCTGTCCTCCTGCCTCAACTTCCCAAGTGCTGGGATTGGAGGCATGCACCACCATCCCAGGCTTTCATTAGCCATTTGTACTTACAAGAATTATCTTCATTTCACTTGCCCATTTTTTTATTGGGTCTTTTATTTTCGGGGGATCTAATGTTTTTTGAGTTGTTTATATATTCTAGATATTAGTCCTCTGAGCTGGCAAAAAATGGTTTACATTCTGTAGGTTGTTTCTTCACTGTGTTGGTTATTTCTTATGCTTTGAAGAACCTGTTTTTAAAAAATATGATATGATCTCATTTCTTGATTCTCATTTTTATGTCTTATGTCGTTGGGGTTCTATTTACAAAGTTTTTACCTTTGTCCCTGTCTTTTAAGAGTTCTGCTACTTTATCTTCCAGCAGACTTTTTGTTTTAATGTTTGGACTGCTGGACTTAATGAAGACAGTCAGGGGTCCATTTGTTCACTTCCTTCCCCAGGTTTTGTGAACATCCAGGATTGGGTCCATTGGTTATGAGTCTTGGCCTTTGCTGCTCCATACTGTGCTTCCCTGAGTCCTCTAACAAGGGTTGGCTCTTGCGTTTGGGGGCGGGGCACCTCCTTAGGAGCCAGTGGGCTCTCTCACATGGGAGTGGGGCATAACTCTTGGTCAGCTCTCACGTGGGGATGCTCTCATGTATGACTGGGGCACTGCCTCAATAATGTGAGAGGCAGGGCTCTCTTCTGACTCTGATTGACTCTCATGGGTGGTCCACTGCTCCTGGTTGACTCTTTTATGTGGGGTTGGGGCATGGCTTCAGGTCAGCTATCTCTCCTGGGATGAAAAATGTTACTTTAAATGATGAATTTGTTATGTCTTTCTGATTCAGCTTCATAGCTTGTTTCAAATTATCATTGCTCTTCTGTTTTCTTTTCCATAGGTATATGTGGAATTTGATGATCTTGAATGGGATAAACGAGAGTGGGTTAAAGTTTATGAAGATTTTTCAACTTTCTTGGTGGAATACCACTTAATTTGGGCCAAAAGGAATGACCCTAGCCAGACTCAGGGATCAAAGAGCAGACAAATTCAGTGGCCTGCATTGGTAAGATCTGTTCCTACTTTATTAAAGATTTTCAGTTACTGGTTTTAAAATAAGAATTGTGTGTAAATTAAGATTTATCTCACTGGTTATAGATTAATATTCCTGAAGAGTCTCTGCATACCTGGAACAAATTTGAAAACATTGCATCGGCTTTGTTAAACAACTTCACGTACCTCTTTGTTAGTGTACTTTCGTCATGTGTAGTCAGAAGTAGTTTATCCAGTTAAATGAAACATGAATTGTATTTCAAGTTGTTGAGAGATAGTTGACTTTTGTATACAGTGTAGAAAAACTTCAGTGAAACTTTGTAAGTGGAAGATGGAGGAAACATTTTCTAAAGCATTGACTAACACATGATTTTTCTTGATTGGTTAGTGATTTACTGTAGGTGATAGATGTTAAATGTGTATATGTTCAGGTAATGAGTAAAATTACTTCATATCAAGAAATCACGTATTTAAGAAAATATAGCCAGGCGTGATGGTGTGTACCTGTAACCCCAGTACTCAGAAGACTGAGGCAGGAAGATCACTGAATTCGAGGCCATCCTGGGCTACATAGTGAATTTCAAGGTCAGCCTGAAATACATGATGAGACACTCTCTCAAAAAACAAAGAAAAAACCGGAAGAGAAGTGACAGATTTCACTAAGTTCTTAAATAGTTTGAAGAGTTTTATGAAAGAAACATAGTAAGATTATTAAATTTCATTGCATTGGGGCTGGGGATTTAGCTCAGCGGCAAAAGCGCCTGCCTGGCAAGCGCAAGGTTGTGAGTTCGGTTCCCGGTACCGGAGAAAAACCAAAAAAA